GTCAAACCTAGCAAACTACTAGGAGACAATTTTGTTTTGTTCTTGTGCAAAAGTTAAAAAAAAAAATCTAGTCTGTTTTATTTGGCTCTGGTTCAAACCATGTTACCAGGAATTTTGGGGGGTGGGAAAACTCCTATTAGGGTCATCGTCCAGAATAATACATTTGTCCTTCGATTGGTTTCCTCTTGGGGTTTATTCAAAGGGATGGTTCACTGTCACCGGAGTCCAGATTCGGCTCAGATCCCTGATCTGGACAGAGGCCAGAGTCCTGGAGCTGATAGTGAGGCAGGTGGGGTATGAACACGTAAATGAATGGAAGTTGGAGATTATCTGGCCTTTTCTTCATCTTCCTGCAGGAGTTGAAGAGTGGAGAATCACTTTCTGCTGATGATCCTGCTTCGTGAGACGGCCTCTGCCCACCAGAGGCTGGAAGCTGCCTGGGGGGATTAATCAGGACATTCCAGAAACTCCCTGCTGCCCGATAGGTGGGAACTGCAGAAACACACTGCCCTTGCCACACGTCTCTGATGCTAGGGAGTCAGGCGGCTGGGGAGGGATGGGGAGATGTGCTGGCAGATTCTGGGGGACACGTCTTCTCAGGGTTTGGCTGCAAGCCTGTCTATTGCTTTTTGGTGAGGCTGTCGGAAATGGATTAAAATGAGGAACTGGTAACGAGTTGATGAGATCTGAGGCCCCAGCATGTTCTCTGAGGTCTGCACGAACCTGAAAGTGCTCTGGCCTTCGGATCCAGTTGATGTTACAAGGGAGCAGGGTGTTTGCAACAGGCCAGCCAAGAGGGGCTTCGGTGTGTCCTGGGCCTCAGTGGGAAGCTTGCTTGCATGAGATTTTTGGTTCCAAGATCTCTGGGGATGAGAAAATTCAGTCTCTTCCAAGCGCCAGCAGAGGGTGGGGGAGAATGAGCTGAACCAGCCCACGTTCTATCCCGATGGTGAGGGCCGTCCGCAGCCCTGCCTCCCCTGGCCTCACTCCTGGATCCATGCCCAGGATTCTTAACAACAATAAGTAAGAGAAACACACAGAACGAGGCAAGTAACAGTGTCCACAGACTCTAGACCAAGTGTCAGGAAATGCCTGCACGAGGAAGTCAGAACCCAAAGTCCTTCCCCATCCCCAGAAAGTCAGAATCAAAAGGAAGAAAAGAAAGCAAGCCCAAGGGGCCATGGGGGGAAATGAAAAAGACCAGAGAATATCAGCTATGCTAATGACCAAGAATAAAACTCCTAAAATGTTATTCTAGATTACAAAAGAAGCAAAGAGACTAAGTGGTCCTATTACAACTTTGCCAAAAACACATATGTATCTATATACTTTTTATCTGAACAGGGAGAGAAACTACATGGGTGTCCTGCGATGTAGACCCGCATCAGACACTTCTAGAGCCAGAGAAACGGCAACAGGAAACGCAGAGGTAACTTTTTATTTCTGGGCGTAGCCAGGCTGGTTTGGGTCCCCCTGGCTGAGTGAAAGCATTTGGATGCTGTCACGTAAGTGGTGAGAAATGAGGAAACTACAGCTCAGGGCTGGAGGCTCTTCACTGGCTGGGGGCCGCAGAGGTGAGCCCTTCTTCCTCCCGCCACAGGAAAAGCCCTTTTCCAAAGGATCATGTCCTAGAGGCGCTTTGCCTCTGCTCTCATTGGATTCAAAGTTACGTAACTGGAGCCTGAAGTCGGGGGTTACCTTACTTGGGACTAGTTAGCAAAGAAATAAGGAGCGAGGGGGTGGGGGGAGGGCGAGAGACAGAGAGACAGAGACAGAGAGACCTGGCTCTAGTGACCTTTGTCCGTGGTGAAGTTTAAATTTCCCCTTGTCCATGGATTAGACACTCCAGCCATGACTTGGAGCAAGACAGAAATGTACATTAGTTACAAACATGAATACATCACAGTTTTACAGAAGAGAATACGGTTTCTTTTTCTCCTCAGAAAAGTGGGTCTTATTAGGAGAAAGGGCAGGGGTGAAGCTACAGTCACCAAGACGTGAGGGGGGAGAGCTGGGAATCAGTTTGGCAAAGTCTGTTGTCGCCAGCACTTCTGGGGTGGGGGAGGGGGGCAGCCGGGCGAGTTGAAAGGAAATGGGCTCCTCAGGATTTCGCTGTTCCTGGTCTTCTTCTTCTTCCTTCTCGATCCCCAGTGCTTTTAGAGAAAGGGACTTCACGGTACCAAATGTCCTCTCCTCTTTTTTTCTTTCCTCATTAAGTGTGCTTAAGATAAAATTCCTAGAGAAGGCACTGAGAAATCTACTGCACCGAAGTCCTGTTGTTTTTCTTTACCCAAAGATTTAAAAAAAAAAAAAAAAAAAGTGAAAAAACCGACTCCTCCAGAGGTGGCCCACCTCTCCCTGCAGGTCGCAGATTCCTCTGTGTGGTCGGGACACACACAGCCACCTGGTCCCTAGCCCTTACTGATAATGGTGGAAGCTGGAAGCCACGTTGGGCTGGGTTGACGAATCTCACTGACTTCGCCAAAGGGACCAGGCACTCACCCACTCTAGCCCCTAGCTTGCTTTCTTTGAGTCGACTTTTTGTGTTGTTGTTGTGTGTTTTTTTTTTTTTTTTCTTTTCCCATTTTTGTTGGTTCAGGAATTGGTGGGACATAGATCACCAAGTAAAAGTGGGTATTTGCCTCCAAATCATGCTTTCTTCTCTTCCCATGAGTACCTGTCTGTGAAGGTCAGCTTCTCAGTGGAGACTCTTAGGTAGATTTCCCAGTGCATGTACGCAGGTACAGGTAGGGTGTACACATATTAAAAACCGGGGTATGTTTCTTTTTGGCAGGTGGGGCCTGGGAAAACTTAACAATACTCTATTTTGAATTGGGCACAGGGTAAAAGCTATATTCCCACAATACATACACAAGTAAAAGAAAAAACTGAAACAAAATGCAATACTTTCTAAGCATAGTATATGCTGAGTTTCAATTATTTTGTTTCTATAAGAACTCTATAGGACTCTGGCTAGTAAGCCTGAAAAGGTAGGTTCTTAATGATACTTCTGAATTCGTCCTTCAAAAGTGACTCCATAAAATGCTACTTTAAGGTCAGACAGACTACACAGGGAAAGAAGGGTCAGGTCCTGTGTGACCACACAAGGCAGAAAGGGCCTTTGGTTACAAGGAGAGTTGCACCAATCGGTTATTAGTTTAAAAAGAAAGAATGAACGAACGAACTCAGATCCAATCTGTACACTTCTCGTCTGCTTCAACCGACAAATGAAATGCCTTGATTTGAAGAAGGGGTGGTAAGTTCCTTCTCGCTATATATGGCTATATTTAAACATGTTCACTTTCCTGATATGTAAAATAGACTATATTATTGTTATTAATTTTTACAGATAGCATCAGCTCTAAAAATATCTGAATCGGAAATCACAACTATTTACTTTTATCAAAAAGCATTTGTTTTCCCTGAATTTTCACATTTGTGCTGATGGCCGACGTAAATGGTCATGAAAACAAAGAAGAGACAGGTGAGGTGACATGGGCCGGGGAGGACTGTCCATCGGCCGCTCCTCAGTGGGGCCCCCAGCCCGCACTGCGTGCCCGGCAAAGCGCTTGGGGGCGTGGCTGCTTCCTCTCTCTCTGGGGAGCTACCAGCACAGGATGACCTCACACTTTCCCTGCCCCTTAAGTCCCTTTGCAGCGGCTGTGAAGGTGAAGAAACCTCAAGCAAGATACTTCGGCATTGGCATCGTATCCTTCATTAACACAGCAAAGGACAGGACTGCAGCCTCCCGGAAGGATCCACAGTCCTTGGAGACACTGAGAAGCAGTGTGAACCAGGTGCACATTCAGCGGAGTACATGTGTTTTTAAGGGCGGTGGAATGACTCCGTGCCATCACACCTGTGACAGGCGGCCAGCCTCATGTCACTGTACAGAGGGCAGGCAGAAGGACTCCGTGATTACCTGTGTACTGACGGGTGGCTCAGGCCATTACACTAACAGGCAGACCAATAACACACTGAAGAACAGGCGACCCACACCATGTATGTTCCATCAGGAAAACGTATGCCTGTCACGGTGCAGTGGGTTGGCAGATCTACACTACTGTACTTGGGACACCATCCATCAAAGTTGTGTTTAGAGAGCAACATCGGTCCATTGTACTACAGACAGGCAGGTCAACGACATGTCATCTTTACCGACAGATGGGCCAACAGCATGGTGTCATGCTAACCAGGGGCTCAACCCAATGTTGGGCTCAATGTTTCTGAACTGAGGAATGGCCCAATGCCACCATCCTGTGGACCGAAATCACGCAGGCCAACGCCAGGGCATCGAACTACGACAGGAAGACCAACACTAAGAAACACACCGGAACCATTCACAACGCACACAAATACTTATTGCTTTTGTCTGTACTGGCTGCATTGATGGCTGCAGAAGGGAGAGCTGAGTTCAAGTACAGACAGTGACACTGAAAACACACCAACAGCTGGTTGACAAGAAAGAGAACAGAGTAAACACCCAATGCCCACCGCCTACTGTATTCTTCTGAGATGCGCGTGTTTCCCGTACACATGACTCCATGAGAGGCCCCACTCAAGGGCTCAAGTACCCTTCCTCGCAAGGGGGCTGACAGGAAGCTTCAGAGGGACAGGGAAGGAGCCCACAGAGTTTGACACGGCAGACAGCAATCCCAGCCCAACATCACCCACTGCGGCCAGACACAGGCTTGTAGTCAACAACCCAACTGCAGTCCCAGAAAGTGGCCCACGGGAAATAGTGCTTGTTTTAAAGTGCGAGATCTCGACACTGTCCCTGGTAGAACCTATTTTTGAAAAACGTAAAGTGCTTTTTATTTTAACATTTTTTTTTTAAACTTGAATACCACAGGAAACAAAAAAGAATTTCTATTATAGTAGATGCTTTCCTGCTGCCACAGGAAGTATTCAAAAGTCTGAACTGGGCATTTCAATTGGGGAATTTTTTTTTTCCCTTTCATTTTCGCAGGTAAAAAAAAAACAGATTTTATTCTGTTCTTCGATAACATACAGTCCCTTTGAATAAGCTATTTCTTTTGCATATTTGACACTTGCATATCTTTTGAGTCTACGCTAATGATGTACAGAGAGGGTTTTCCTTATACAACCCTAAAGCAATGCTCACAGTTCACACTGTTGGCTGAGTGCCTGCCGTCTGAACCCTTCCCAGATTGCCAGGGGGCAATTAGAATCAAGTACAAGTGGTGCAACTCACCCTGATGATATCTCAAAATAAAATCTCAGGTACTACGGAACACTGAAGTCAATGAAGACATTTGACTAAAGGTTTTGCGCTGGGACCGTGGTTTATGGTGCAGAAACTTCCCCATGACGTGAGCATCCTCTGTAGCCTTCTATCAGTGGGATCCAATCGGGAGGTGATGTGCAGGAGTTCCTCGCGGTGGCTAGGCCACACCCGGAACTGAATCAGACAACCTGGCCACTTGTTGTCCGGCATCCTTCTCCAGCCGAAGCCCGAGGGATGGAGATGTCACCCCCTGAGGCCGTGATGGAGAGCCGTGACAGAAGAGTAGGCGGCCTTGGTTAGGTCTAGCATGTGGTAGTGGTGGCTATGAGTTCTGCCCGTACCCTCTCCCAAAGAGGGCAGTAGAGTTGTTACAAGGAGACGCCATAGCCTGTGGCTTGGCCGACTTCATTCTATTGTACCTGTCATGGCTCTCAGGGCCCTAGGGAGCCTCCTCTGGAGTGCTTCTCCTGTCTGCGGGCTCTGCAGAGCCTTTCTGTTCCAGAGTTCGTGCAGAAAAGCTCACAGCACGCCTCTGAGGTCTTTTGCCACAAGTCTCTGCTGCAGGTGGGGTAGCTCAGAGGCTCTGATCCCGTGTGCTTCCGTGGGCCCCTCCCCCTGGCAACACGCGGACGTCGGGGGAGATGTGGTTCTCGAGTTTGCACTTTTCCTGACCACCGGGGCCTTTTCCAGTCAATGCTTCTGTAGAGTAAATACAGTTCTGCCTTAAGAACTTAGGGGAGGTGGGTAAGGGGGAGCTTTCAAAGTGGTTCTTCTCTGATCTTGTCCCGACGCTGAACTTGGGACTGGTGCTCACATGCACGCTCTTGGGAGGGCTGGAATCCACACTGTAGAGAACCTGCCCCTCGTCGTCCGTGTCCGCATCAATGTACTGGTGGATACCTGCTTCGAAGTTGAATGCTATTGCTGTGGGTTTCTCAGGCGACCGGGGGGGTGTCCTAGCACTTGCTGTGGTATAGACGGAGGACTCTGGACTCAGTACAGGCCTGTCCAAGAGTGTGGCGCACTCTAGTCCAGCGACAGCAGCTGCAGCGCCCCCCCGGTTCCTGAGAGGGTCATGGTACATCCCCAGAACGGGGACTAGCGGACTGGGGTCACCCTCCATGAAGTTGACTTTAAGTGCTCGTAGCTTCAGGGGGTTGCTCGTCTTCATAGAACTCTTGGGGCTCTCAATGAAGAAAGTAGAGCGTTGGCTGGCATCAGGGGTGGGGTTGGCCTCCACAAATCTCCCACCACTGGCACCCAGAGCTCCCCTCCAGCCCATCTCTGGGGCCATGCTGCCCCCAGGCTTGCTGGGAAGTGACGCCAAGGGGCTGTGGGAGAATCTGGTGGCTTCGGGGAAGTCTGTGGCACAGCTAATGAAGCTATCAATACTCGACATGCTTCGCATATCGATGACACCTTCTGTACGCGTGGGCAGAGGGGCTACGGGGCTGGGGATACTCTCCATTTCAAGTTCTTCCTTTGGTTTGCTCTGTGTGGCTGACTCCTTGGTATTGAGGATGGGCTGGGATTGGGTCTTGGCCATCTTATTGTACATGTCTTCCAACTGCTGGACGTTCAGGTGCTGAGGACTAGATGACGATCTGGCCTTTTCAGGGGACCCCTGCTCCTTGGTTTCAAAGGACTTACTTGAGCTAGTTTCAGACAGTGTCCTCTTTGTCCATTTCCATTTGTTGGGAGACAAGTGATTATCTTGCACCTTGTCCTTCTTACTCATATTTTCTCCATTTTTCTCCACCACGATGTCCATCATCTCGATGCTCCGGGCAAAAGCATCTTTCATGTTCATGGATACGATGCTGCCATTCCTCTTGGCTCTCTCCAGAGCCTCTCTCCGCTTGATTGCTTTCTCCTGCCTCTTCTGCTCCTTGTAGAACTCAGAGAAGTTATTGACGATGATTGGGATGGGAAGAGCAATCACCAGCACCCCTGCGATGCAGCAGAGTCCCCCCACAATCTTCCCCAGGAGAGTCTTGGGGTAGATGTCTCCATACCCAACTGTCGTCATGGTGATGGTGGCCCACCAGAAAGAGGCTGGGATGCTTTTGAACTTGGTGTCATCCTCATCCTTCTCAGCAAAGAAGACAAGGCTGGAGAAGATCATGATGCCCATGGCGAGGAAAAGGATGAGCAAGCCCAGCTCGTTGTAGCTCCTTCGCAGGGTGAAGCCCAAGGACTGGAGGCCAGTGGAGTGGCGTGCGAGCTTAAGGATGCGGAGGATACGCATGATGCGGAAGATCTGGACCACGCGGCGGACATTCTGGAACTGCAGCACACTCTTGTTGGATTCGGTGAGGAAGATGGTGACATAGTACGGCAAGATGGCCAACAAGTCAATGGCATTGAGCGGGCCCTTGAAGAACTTCCACTTCTTGGGTGAGGAGAGGAACCGCAGCAGGTACTCCATGGTGAACCATGCAATGCACACGGCCTCCACGTGAGCCAGCTGGGGGTTGTCTGTGGTCTGGCCGAACTCGTCCAGGCTCTGCAGCTCGGGCAGCGTGTTGAGCGACAGAGCGATGGTGGAGAGGACGATGAACATGATGGAAATGATGGCCAGGATCTGCAAGGAGAAGAGAGTGGGATTGAGTTACTAACCTTCGAGAGGATGATCTTCCTAACACCCTGGTCTGCGGGGGCTCCTCAACCGTTCAAGAGCATTTTCATATCTCACTAGTCACTTAATGGCTGGGTGTTTGAGCTAAAAAGGTCATTTATTCAAACCATCTTTTGTCACATGTAGAAACCAAAGCCCAGAGACTGCAATGATTTGGAGCTAAGGAGGTTTGAAAGAGAGCATAGGGCAGCAATTTAAGAGCTTGGGCTCTGGTGTCCGGTTGTTTTGGGTTTAAATCCCAGCTCGGCCACTTCTTACCTTGAGACAGTTGTTTTTTCTCTCTAAGCCTCAGTTTCTTCATCTGCAAAATGGGAGGGTAAATAACAGTGTCTATCTCAGAGAGCTGCTATGAAAAGTAAATGTGTTAACGTGTGCAAAGTTGGGACAGCTTCCAGCAGCACACAGGGAGTGTCTGATAAACACCAGCGATCTTCAAGGGGGCGATCTCTCAGCCCACACCCCACACCAGCCCGTCAGCTGAGATTGCCCAGGCTCTGAGTGGCATGGCTGGTCTTTGCTTCCGGCCCTGTTCCAAAATGGCCTGCTATATCCTGTGAGCAAATGCCGTTGCTGCCTGCATGTGAAAGTTTTCCATTCTTTGCAGTCAATCCCTACGCACAACGCATGGTGGTCAAGCCTACATTTTTACTTCGACCTCTCTCTTAGGGCCTCTCCTGCCACAGGCTCCCAAACGTCACATTTCTCTGGCCACATCAATCCCGCGTGTCTGTGTCTCTTCTTCTCTGTTCAGTGAACTCCAGTCCATCTTTTAAAACCCAGCCCCTGTGGCCCCTCTCTGCAGAGGTCATTCCTGCAGAGGGACTGGCCGCTCCATTTGGGTTCCCTCAACACTTTGCCTTACCTTGGGTGCTTTTACACACATCCCATTACGGAGGTGTGTGCGTCCATCACTGCTCAGGGATGGGTTCAGAGCCTGGTCTCCGTAGCCCTAGCACCTAGCCCAGGGCAGGGGCTCCCCAAGTGTTTGCTCACTGCTGCCCAGGTTCCAGAGTGACAAGTGGAAGTGCTGGCTTCTGTTTATTTTTATTTTTTTATTTATTTCTAGGAGAGAGAGAGACAGCATGAGCAGGGGAGGGTCAGAGAGAGAGGGAGTGACAGACTCTGAAACAGGCTCCAGGCTCCGAGCTGGCAGCCAGCACAGAGCCCGACGCGGGGCTCGAACCCACGAACCGCGAGATCATGACCTAAGTGAAAGTCGGATGCTTAACCGACTAAGCCACCCAGGCGCCCCTTTAATGTTTTTTTTAAATCTTTGCGAGAGAGAGAGAGAGAGAGAGAGAGAGAGAGAGAGAGAGAAAGTGTGAGCGTGGGAAAGGCAGAAAGAGGAGACAGAGGCTCCAAAGCAGGCTGTATGCTGATAGCACAGAGCCCCATGCGGGGAACCAACTCATGAACTGTGAGATCATGACCTGAGCCGAAGTCTGACACTTAACCAACCGGGCCGCACAGGTGCCCCCAATGTACCCTGTGTCTTTAATACAAAAGTTTTGAGTGTTAATTCCTTGATTTGCACACACCAAAAAAGCAAAAACTTTTGTAATCACTGTAAAAAGAAATACCCAATACACGTAAAAGTAGGTCAAGTTTATATATATTTACGAAACATAATCAAATGGACACCTGTGAACCCACCACCCAGGAGAACACACCGGGTGTGGAACAGAAATGCCGGCTGACCTTCTCGCAGGTCCTTCCTCACCCCGTGGGTAACCAGAACTTTTTCTCCTCCCTTGTCTTTTCTGTAGAGTTTTTTAAAATTTATTTTTGAGAGAGAGAGAGAGAGAGAGAGGGAGAGAGGGAGGGAGGGAAAGAACTCAAGTAGGGGAGGGCCAGAGGGAGAGGGAGAGAGAGAATTCCAAGCAGGCTCCACAGTGACAGTGCAGAACTGATGTGGGGTTCAGCTCCACGAACTGTGAGATCATGACCTGAGCCGAAACCCAGAGTCAAATGCTTGACCGACGGAGCCATGCAGGTGCCCCATCTGTAGAGTTTTAGTACAGAGGTAGATGTCCTTAACAAATTACTGTTTTGTCTTGCTCAGGACTGACATCCTTCTGTACGCATCTTTTTGCTGCCTGTACTCTTTATTCGATAGTAAAACAGCAACAACAGCACACACTGCTCACCTTCTCTGTTCTATTTTAGCCTCGCCCTAAGAAATGACATTTGCAAAGATGCTGAGTTTGTGTGCTAGGGGAAGATGTGTTAAATATTCATTAACATAAATGTGTGCTTATTGGAATAAAGCATTTCGGCAGCACACTTTGGGAACTCCAGCACTGAGTTAGGAGTGTGGGTCCTAGAGGTAGACTCCAGCTGGGTGGCCTTGGCATTGAAACTTTCCTTGCCTCAGTTTTCAAATTTGTAAAATGGGGATATTCTAGTCATTCACAACTGGGGATGATTTTGACCCCCCAGGGGATTTTTGGCAAATTCCATAGACATTTTTGTTTGTCACAACTTGGGGGAGGGAGATACTGCTGGCAGCAGGTGAATGGAGGCCTGAGACGCTACATCCTACCTTGACCTCGCACAAGCCAGCTCCACAGTGAAGAATTATCTGGCTCAAAATGTCGATCGTACGAAGGTTGAGAAGTCCTGGGCTATACTGATAGCCAGCCCCTCATAAATTATAGAGTGGGGGACAAGGAGGTTACGCACGTAGAGTTACCAGCACAGGGTTAGACACAGAGTGGGCCCTGGCTTTCTGGGGACCCCCAGCCAGCGCCGTAGGCTGAGCCTGGCAGGCTGCTGTTCTGGGCACTGACCCCCCCAGCCAGGAGGGAGCTGATTCTGGGGAGCCTGTTCCTTTAACAGCTGGGAGGTCCCATTTCCCCCAGAGGCTGGCAAGGGAAGCCTGCTCCAGTTTCTAACCCCCAGACAACTCCAGGGAAGGCCCACATAATTGCTGTTCTGCTGACAGACGCATGAATTATGCACCCGGCATATTATGTACAGTCCTTAGGGCTTGTTATTTTAAAGAGGGCACCACCTTTGTACCTGAGAATGCACCCTCCCCTTCCCTCCTCTTAGCCTCAGGATGCCTAGAAAAGAAGAAAAGGGGGCAGAGGCTTCACTGGATCCTGGTGGGGGAGGGCCGCCTGCTGCTCAGGGCTGTGTTGGGAAGGTCAGAGCGCCTCAGGCCTCCTTCCCCAAGATGGCATGCAGGGTCTTCCTCTGCACCCCCTCCTGACCCTGCCCACAAGAGTGTTTTCTTTCCTGGACCCACTGGAGCCTTTAGAGTCAGGGCCACACAGGGCATCTGGGTGGCTCAGTCGATTAAGCATCTGACTTTGGCTCAGGTCATGATCTTGCTGTTTGTAGGTTTGAGTGCCACGTTGGGCTCTGTGCTGACAGCTCAGAGCCTGGAACCTGTTTCAGATTCTGTGTCTCCTCTCTCTGCCCCTCCGCCGCTCACGCTCTGTCTCACTCTGTCTCTCAAAAGTAAATAAATGTAAAAAAAAAAAATTTATGGGGCGCCTGGGTGGCTTAGTCGGTTGAGCGTCCGACTTTCGCTTGGGTCATGATCTCACGGTTCGTGGGTTCGAGCCCCGCGTCGGGCTCTGTGCTGACTGCCAGCTCAGAGCCTGGAGCCTGTTTCAGTCTGTGACTCCCTCTCTCTCTGACCCTCTCCTGCTCACGCTGTCTCTCTCTCTCTCTCCTAGAAATAAATAAAACATTAAAAAAAATACTATTTAAAAAAAAAATTTAGAGTCAGGGCCACACTTCCTGGCTGGGGCACTTCCAAATGGGAGTTAAACCTGCTGTACCTCAGTTTCTTTATCTGTAAGATCGGGGGGCGGGGGGAGGGCGGTGTCTAGTGCAAGGCTGCAATGAGAATTGAGTGAATTCATAAGGCCCCTAGATCAGCTTTTATTGCTACTATTACTCCACAGCCTTATACTTATTTATGAGCTGGTTTTGGATCTGGGTTTGAGTCCTGACACTGTTATTCCCAGCTGTGTGGCTTTGGACAAATCCTTTCCCCTCTCCGAGCCTCCATTTCCTTATCTCTCGAATGGAGATGAAAGTCATCTGGAGATGAAAGTAATCGAGCACTTAGCACATAACGGCCACTTAATATACATTATATTATTAAATTATTATTTGGGTAATTTATCGTCACCCCCCCCCCCCAGCCCCGGGACTGGTTGCTGAGGTCTGTGGACCCCAGTGCCTGGCGAAGGCAGCAGACACTGTACAAGCTTGGGCTCTGTTCTAAAAACCAAACAGTTTTGACCCAGTCTCCAGGACGGACCGCAGGGGCGGGGGGCAAGCCAGCAACCGGAGTCCTCCCGTCCTTGCTCAAACCTCTGTCTGGGCCTCGGCATCTCCAGCCCTATTTGCTTGGGATCTGAGCCCAATCAGGTTTGGGCAGGACTCCAGGAACCCAGGGAGCAAAGGCAAAAGCCAGGACAAGGGACAGAGAGGCAGGCCTCCAACTCCCTCCCTGTGACACAATTCTGGATCCTGGAACCCACCTGTCTGCATCAAATGGGGGAGGCGGCTTCGGTCCTCTGGGGGGAAGAGAGCAGCATCGGGAGTCCTGGGCGGGGGTCCAGGGGTGCTGGAGCTAAGCCCTCCTCCTAACTGGTGGTTGATCACGGGGATGCCCACCTTTGGCTCAGCAGCTATAAATACAAACTGTTTATCATTTCCTCCACACACTCCCCTGCTCTTCCAGGAATGTGAACAAGGCACAGAATATCTGTGCATAAAAGGGCACAGGCTCCTGTCTGGAAAGATGGGGAGACTCGAGCAAAAAGCAGCGAGGGGATCCATTCATGGTTACACAGCCCATTGGGGTCAAATGTGTACAAGTGACCAGAAGCTCTATAAGCTGAGAGCTGTTCAGGGCTTGGAAGCTGCCTGCCCCTCCTCCCCTTTTTAAACAAGGGTCATAGGGACGCCTGGGTGGCTTAGTC